GCTTTTCCCATAAAAATTAAATGAAATAACAAGCATAAGATTTTAGTGAGCATTTATTACTGTAATTCGAATAATAAAAAGATAACACACAAGTTGTTCACCATAAAATTTGAAGGCAAGGGTTCTATATGATTCCTGAAATACTTGTCAATCTTTTGTAACTTTGATTTTTGCTGTGTCCATGTGAATAGTGAGTTCTTCACTATGATTTATCATGATAACATGCTTCTTTTGAGAATATATCGAGATTTGATATTAATGATATCCATTTAATTAAATCTTAAAGTTATCAATCAATTGACTTAGAACTATATTGGAAGTAGTTAAATTTCAACTCTAATGATAATAAAGAACTTAAAAATACACAGACCAAGGATCTATATCATTCAATCAAAGCACGCAGTTCAACGCTCTACACCATTAGATTAAGGCACACGGATTGAGCCTTTGTGGCACGTGGATCAAAGCTATGATATTATGTAGGAATTAAGAAATACCCTTATTAAGTACTAGATTAGCATGCACTCATCTTATGAAGATCGAATATATTTGGTACTAGGTGTATCTCCATCTCTTTTACTCTTCGATGGAAATGATCAATTTCTCAAATAGCTCGATATAAATGACCAAATGAGTTATATTCATCAAGAATTTATCATCTAAATACAGCATGAGAATATCCTAACTAAATGTTCATAAATGTAGAATAAAAAAATAGCGAAATGAAAGGATTTACTCATAAATTTCTTGAAGAAAAAGGATATAGCCACTTTTTTAATTTTGAAGTAGATGTCCATGTTCTAAATACAAAAATCAAACAAACATAACACAACATAAAATTAGAGATGATTAATATTAGAGGGAATTACAACCATAACATCGGTTTTGGTTGTCATATAACACAATTAAATGAATAAAATGGGAAATATGAAGAAGTAATATTTTTTTTTTCAAAATTGGCCCAAAAATTACAAAAGCTAATGAAGAGCTTCTTAACATCAAAGCCCAAAGATATTATAAATTGTTACATGCAACTCAAAAACTATTTAGAAAACCCCCCAAAAACCAAAACAACACAATAAAGAAAACATAAACACAGTATTGACACAGCCTAGACTCACTAAAAATGCCTTAAGGGTCAACACATTTTAGCGAATTCTCCCCTGACATGATAAAATTAAGCAATTAGGCAATAAAAAATGCCCAGTTCAACATCCAACTCACCATTACTGAAGAAATACTTGAAACCAAAGAATGCTATAAAATGTTTTAAAAGAAGAAGCAAATCATAGCACCATGCAGCATGCACCTACTAATTACAAAAAATAAATGCTCAAATATTTTAAAGATTTTTAAAAATAGATCTTATGAAATACGAATAAACACACATGCCATACTAACCACCCCAAGCTTCACCACAAGCATGCCTACATTTAACAAAACAAAGCAGAATAAACACCACATTTTGTGTCCAACAAATCTGCACCTGAAATAAGTATTGTGGACTCCGAAAATTAATGACTGCTCCTCGAAAACACTCTGAATTTATTTTTATTTTTGTTTTGCTGAGAGCTTTGAAGCGTTGAATTTTCAGAAGACAGATTAAAGCATAGATAAGACACTACACAAAGATTCCACCCTCATTTAGCGAGGACCTTTTGATCTGTGGTTCGAGGTTTCTCTTTTGATCTGGGTTTGAGGTTTCTCATAGGCGCAAGCCCCTATGGTTCTTTTGATCTGGGTTTGAGGTTTCTCATAGGTGCAAGCCCCTATGGTTAATTACCCCTCTCGATAACAGGAGAGCATTTCGATGAAAACTAGTCAGTATTAAGTGAATATCTAACAAAAAATAGCAGTATACTTAGGATTTAGGTTGTAGAATTCATCAATTGAAGCTTAAAGCGAATGGTGGGGAATGAAGACGAAACTCGATCAAGATCCCATGGTTCCATCATCCAGGGTCATCATGGTCACTGATCTACTTAGTCAGCGGAGGAAGTTGATCCAACCTGAGAAAAGGATTCTTGTTAGAAACCATGGGTTGCGTCTAAGAAATCATTGAAATTTGAGGTGGATAGTTGTCTAAGAGGAAAAATTTAAATTGAACTTAGCCAACATAAGGCTTTGTGTCAATCAATTGTGCCCTTATGAAAAATTAAAAGAGTAAAAAGTTGTTAGGAAACATATAAGATATGGTCGTGACTGTAATATAATGGTGCATTTGGTAGCAGCCACACAGTCAGAGGACTATTGTCGTAACCATTATTTTGTGGTGTAATTTGTCGACAGCACCACGTGGATAGAGGACTCGGGTCACGTCCTTCCTAGCATGCAATTACTTCAATTGTGAATATATTAATACATTTGATATTACATTCACTCTTTGTGAGTTAAAGTTAATCAAAAGTTTGTCACCCTCGACAAACTATTACATGGGTTGATGGAATTTTGTTTTTAGCTTTGAAGTGATTAAATTTTATTTATTTATTAATTGATTATTTTGAAAAGCTTGATTTTAATCTAAAATCAACACTACTATCATCAAGGTCTTGAACATTTTAAACCTTTTATATTTAAAGGGGGACATTTAGTTTTGTTAATTTAAGCTTTTCAAAATATAAATCTTATTAACTCCAATCCTTATATGTAGGAGGATCGGACTAGTGAGATGATTTGGAGGTATAAATTTCTATTTTAGATTTGGACGTTTATTTTAAAACTACTAGACTCGTCAACTTCAGTCACTAGGAGGAGGATCGGACTAGGGGGTGGGACTTACAACCCTGCCCTGTAGACAAGGAGACCTGATTAGCCCGCACAACATTCTCAAACGCATTAGTTGAACATTCAACACATTGGTTGAAGCACATGCAGGCGTTTAACTTTATGTATAATTGATTTGTTTATAAAACCACCTTAAAGAATGCATAGCTCGGGAATATATCAAGTGTTACTCATCTAAGCCTTAAAAGTATGGCTCATATTTCAAGATGTTGCATTTTACTTAAAGAGATAACCACAAATCTTATAAATTTTTATGTTATATAGAATTTAAAATATTTGCAAAAGTACTATGATTTTAGGCTTTGAATGCACTGTCTACTATTCGCTTGCAATCATGTTGTGAATCCGAAGACGGGATTGAACATATAAGTCATAGTTTAATATTTAAGAATGACATTCATATTATTGAATTCAAATCTAATTTATGCATTCATATTTGAGTTAATTTGTCAGCCCGAACGCTTAGATCCAATCAAGCTTTAGCCCGAATTTGGAAAATTGGATATTAAATTTAAGTTTAGCCTCCCAATTTATGACATTTCATATTTTAGCAAAGCTTACTAGCTTATACTCTCCAAATTATGATATTTTATTTAAGTCAAGCTTACACGCTTAGCCCCTCAATTTATAATATTTCATATTCAATTCATTTTGCAAGCACAAATATTTCATTTTAAAGTTATTTACATCTCTAAAAATATGCATTTAGTTTCATTGCAATTCCAAAAGTTCACATTTTTAAATTTCTTACAAATCAAATCATCTGAAGTTCTCGCAGCCTCCCAGCGTCAACCCCCAGTTTGGGGGCAAGGGAGAACACCAACCTTCTCAGCTATTTAAACAGACTCCCTTGTCAGTATCATAAGACACTATGGCAGGGGATCAAAAGATTATTTAACCAGTGATCTCAAAAAAAGTGAGGGGTCTTCAATGTACCTGCAGAAAATTTCAAATCACAAGCAGAGAGTTCCCCCAAGTTTAAAAATAATTCTCCATATGAATTTATGGTTTCCCTGCCTAATGGGTATTTTGTTCTCTAATGGAGATTTTTTTCTTAAAAAATTGCCCGTTGCCCCAATATTATATCTTTCCAAATGAAGCAGTAATATTGATGGCGGCAATAACAGGGGTAACATTGTTGAAAGCTCGCAATTCAAGCATCAAATTAGTCCATATAGCACTCCAATTAGTTTCAGCTAATATGGGCACCATCTTCAAATACTTATGCATAGATCTAGACTACACCTCAAAGTTGGGAACCAGGACAGCAGAAAACTTTTGCAATGCCCTCAAAAGCCACATGAGAGCTTCATAATCTTCAAATACTTATGCATAGATCTAGACTACTCCTCAAAGTTGGGAACCAGGACAGCAGAAAACCCTTGCAATGCCCTCAAAAGCCACATGAGAGCTTCATATGAATGCACTTTGTTTGGATTATTTAAAAGCCGCTTCAAACTTTCAGAATCACCTTCCAACCAATGTACTTGTAGCGGCTTACCAATCCGGTGACCATAAGTATTAGTAAGAAACAAAGATTGTCATTCCAAAGTAATGATCCCTTCAAGATCCATCTTCTATACGTTCCATTGCATCTACCATCTTGATAAACATTCCTTAAATGTCCCATTTTATCATCTTTCGATGCATCGCTCCAGGATGTCTCATAATAAACTGATGCCTTGGTCTAGTTCCTTAGCAGCAACATCAAGAAGTTGTACTGCAAATGAAATCTCTTCCAAAGTATATCTACTAAGCTTCAATTGTATTAGCATAAAGAATGAAATAATCATTCAACCCCTGTCGATGAGTTGCAGGACAAAATGAAAAAATGATAACACATCCACTATAACTATGTATCATATAATTAGTTTTAATGTACAAATCTTATATCTCTTATTATTTAACCAGCTCTTGATCGTTCTAACAATTTATTTTTAAAGAACATGCAGCATACATCAATACCGTGCACATGAACCGTCCTAATACTAACCATAAAAAAGGTGAAAAAAAAATACAATGACAACCATAAAAGAGCACCCAAATGAAGCTTCATATCATCAAGGAAGCTATAAAGAGCAAAATTTTGATTATAAGAACCTCATTCACTTTGAAAAAAAATATGAAATTAGGATGTAAAATATGATACATCAGATTAACACAACATAAAAGAAAAAAAATTAAACAACTTCAATAACTGAGCAAAAGAATGGTACATCTTGTTCCAGTGCTAAGCGACGATCATGCAATGCCTGCTTTCTTTTTTCCAAGCTAGCCTGCAAAATGGCATTGCCTTTGGCCTGAAAGGTAGATTCAAACTGCCCCAGTAAGAATTCATGCCTACCATCCCATTGATGACAATAAGGACAAAATAATGTTTTCAAACCTCTTTCGCAATTCTCATGCGAAGGTCATTCTTTGTCATTTCAAGCCTCTGAATAGCAAGCCTAACATCAGTGCAAGTTAACTTAGTCCACAGCGGTTGAACTGAATAGTATAGTTGCATAATGAAAGAATCAGAGCATCCATCCAATTTGATATTAGTATATTCTAAGAAGTTCGCTAAAAGTGGGTAAAATTTCAACTTCTAAATTGTTCTAAGGTTTCAAGTAGGCTCATATTATTCCTGATCTTTTTTTTTTCTTTTCAAAACAACAGCACTTTAATGCATAAACATCCTATGATAGAAATCTTCGAACTATAATAAAACCTAAAGAATGAAGGTCAGTATTTTAGAGATAAATGAAAATATCCAGGTTTGAAGTATGAACTTGACAACTGAGTGAAAGGACAACGATAGCATAGTCTGAATTGAGGTCATGTGACTTTATTTAAAAGTCAAACAAAGAGTATTTTAAATGTTCTTTATGCCAAAAAATTATGCAATTCTTCCTTGATTTGAGTTTCATGTAGATTTTTTCTTGAAATTAACTTTTCTAATATTTTCCTGTTGTGCATGAGTAAAGGTAACTAATTGTTATTGAAGCACTTACTCCTCTTCACCAGATGAATCAACAGAATCCATTGAATGAGTTTTCCTAGCCTAAAAAATGACAACACAGGTTAATCAGGAAACCATACATAAATACAGCAAAAATGTTAAACCTGAAACCATTGTGAAATTTAAGAAAATAACATGATAACATGCATACATGTGTTCTTCACTTGAATTGGTGCAAAAGAAACTAATTATGGTGTGTAAATAGAGTATACAAGCGTTAAGTCAACATCTATTGATATGCATTAATGACCTCATACATACTAGGCACCCCCTTACTGGCAATCAACAAAATACAAATGTTTCACCCACAAGGCCAGACGCCAACTATAACATTCCCTACAATATTCCCAGTAAAAATGTATACAATAAAAAAATTATTACACCCTCTGAAACAAGTGGAGTATCTTGAGTAATCTAGAGGAACCATCTATAATTAAAAAATAATGACTTGAAATAGTATAATCTTCAAAATTGCAAAGGTAGAAAGGAAAATAATTCAATGACTACTTATTTTACTGCAATCAATCCATGCTGTTGAGTTCCCACTTCAACTAAACTTTGATTTTTTATTTGAACTATGCTTAGTTGTTTCTCTTAAATAGGACACTCATTAGGACACAATGGAGAAAAAGGATCCATGCAGCTGACCCCACTTAGTGGGAAAAAGGCTTGTTGTTGTTGTTTTATGCTTGGTTGTTTCTCTATTCACAAAAGATTGAGAATGGATCCTATAATGACAATCGCATATCCCTCAACAAAGGAAGCACGACATAACAAACGATAGCTCATCAAATCATAATGAATTAGTAATCACAAGCAATCATCTAAAGAGTTTAAGAGTCTCAAACTTGCAAGGAATGAAAAAGTTTGAAAGGTTTAACCGTAAATAATTAAGAGGGTACTATTTCTTCAAACAGGAAATGCTCACATTATTACGACCCCAAAAATTGGTGGTCCTCTTTGCATGATTATGTGAAACATTTAGCTTGGTCACGTGTCTATCGATACCATATTCAGCAGAATTAGAAGGGAAAAGAATGCTAGAATCTAATGATGACAAAATTTCCCCCATTGAAAGAGGAGTTTCACGGGAAGGCAACGCATTTGGGGAATCCTTTTTGGCCAAAGAGTCATCTTGGTTTGTTAGGCCATGTACATCATCATCTTGACAACCCCCAGCTGGTCTGGTCTTCGTTGCTGAATCTTTATTATCTGCAAGAGAATCAGCATCTGAATCATCGCCTGCAAACCCCTGAAATAACAGTGAAGATTCTAATTTTAATGAACTTGAGCATGCTAAGCAAACTAAAAGAATAAACTGCATCAAAAATTGAAACAAAAGCTTAACCAATTTTTTTTTTAAACAAAAATTTTGATTATCACAAAACCTTGAAATAATGAAGCTAAGGAAATGAATAGGGTTGAATGTTTAGAGGCCATTGGTTATATTATTTTTGTTTACATTTTTTTCATTTATTTTATTTATATCTCAATATGAAATAAACACATGTTTGACATTTTAAAAATAAGTTGTTTTTATAATTGAATACTGTTTACGACAATTTATTTTGTAATCTGGAAGCAGGCAGTGATATCACATTTGAAAATGCAGCTAACCAAACAGAGGAGATGAAGCCGACTTTGCATGGGTTCATCAGCAACCAGTGTGGAGCCCGCCCAACAATGAGCATGGGGATGGCCAGGGTCTCATATTTTGAAAACAACAAAAACATCTAAAACTTATTTTGGGTGTTTTAAAAACAATTTGATTTGCTTTTAAAACAAAAAATGGTTATAAAAAAACCCTTACTAAACATGCTTTGTCTTTAAAAAAAAAAGAAAACAAAATGGTATCAAATAGGAACTTAGTATCTAACAAATATTCTTGATAATCCATGTGGAAGCCATGTAACTTGTAAAGAGGAATAAGCTAGTCAAAAGATTTGGAATTAATGAAGCATGTGGATGATTTGTGAATGATTTATAGATGATAAATTGAATGGGAGATGCTGTCATCAAGATGCAGAAGCACAATGATTTCTTAGAAATTGTTACATCAACTTATCAAGGCATATATACCTTGTGGCCAGATTAAATAAATTGCCTTAACAAAGATTTATAAAAAAAGAAGCAATCATTGGTAACATTATTAATTCAACCTTTATTTTTTAAAATTAAGAAAAAATAATAATACAAAAGATATTTTGTCTTCACATTTCTTAAGTTGTAGCTATTTGATCAGTTTTTCCCAAGTTTGGACCATATAATGAAAGAGAACAATGAATTATATCCATAATAATAACCATGCCAACAGCTGAGCACCAAAAGAAAACCAAACTGTTCAGTTGCAACTTCAAGGCATTTAGTGTTTATATAAAAGGGTGGGGAGCACATTTGATTTAAAACTGAAAAATCGAACCGAACTGTGCATATTGGTTGATTTGGTTTAGTTTTGAAATCATGGTTCAGATTTTAGTTTAGATTAAAGATTATTTATATTGTGGTTATTAGTTCAGTTTGAAAGAGAAAGAACCAGTATAACCACGAACTCAAAATTATACCGCATTAAATCAAGTCCACTATTTTTTGTTTCTTTGTCTTCATTTCCACTTCTCTTATGAGTTCCTCAATTTTAGTTATTTATGTTATGATTATTATACCCCATTTGGACTCCTCTAAATCAATCATGAAATGTGATATATGTGGTAAATAAAATTCCAACTAACACTCATCCTAACTTCACTAATCAAAATCAAGAAAAAAAAAGTAGTCTATAATCATCAAAAAATATATACTATACATTAATATCTACTAGTCTATATTAATCATCAAAAAATATATACTATACATTAATATCTTCCGATAGATCATCTAATAAACTTCATATGTAATTAATATATATTTAAAATCTTCAATTATATCAGGAAAAAATTTCTTCTATCTTGAATCTCCTCTTCTAGGCCCTAGTCAGAGATTGGTCTGTCGTTGTTTTTCTCCCTTTTATTGTGTCGTGTTGTAACTCTATCGTTGTTTCTCTCCTTTTCATTCTGTTGTGTTGTAACCCTACTTATATTTTAGTAATAGTTTACTTTTTGTGTTTGGATAACTCCTGGCTAGTTCTGATATCTTATCATAGCGTTCCTAGCATCTACCCTACCCAAATCACCTCCACCTCCAATTCCCAACCCTGCCCATGTCATCGCGAAGAGATACATCAGACTTTACTTGGGAGGAGATTCAACGAGAAATTCATCATTTGCAACAGAAACTATCCAAGCTAGATGATGGGAACCAGGAAGAGATTACCTTCGATCGTGATCGGGAGTCGAGCGGAAGACAAGGACAAGGATTTGAATCCGTTCCACAAAGAAGAACACAGTGATGAGAAATATTGACTACGTCGTTTTGGTATCCAATACTCGAGGAGGCCAAGGGAAGAGGCCACTTATGGGGGTTAGCCTGACTTTGACATCAAGATGGACCTCCCAGAATTTGAGGGAAGCATGGACCCAGATGCGTTTATCGACTGACTACAATCAGTCGAATGGATTTTCGAGTACAAAGACGTATCAGAGGACAAACGGTCAAAATAGTTAGTCATTAAACTAAAGAAGAATGTCGTCTTATGGTGGGAAAACCTACAAAGGCCGAGGAAAGGAGAAGGCCGTGAGAAGATAACTAAGTAGGAGAAGATGAAAAAGGCAATGCAGAAGAAATAGCTCCCACCACAGTATCTCCAGGATTTGTTTCTAAAATGCCACAGCTTATAGGTTTGTTCGTTGGGTTACATTGTATCTAGTGCACGCGTTCAGATGGATCCTACAAAGATAAAGATCATTATCAGTTGGACTACAACACAGTCATTCACTGAGCTAAGACCATTTTTTGGGATAGTATCATTCTACCGGAGATTAATTAGGAACTTACGCACCATCACCTCCACTTTAACTGAACTTTTAAAAGTGAAGGAGTTTGCTTGGACGGCAGCAGCACATGACAGCTTTGACACACTGAGTTGGGCTCCCGAGCTAGCATTACCAGACTTCAACCAACTTTTCGAGGTTGAATGTGATGCCTTCAGGGTAGGAATAGGAGCAATATTGAACCAGAGACGACATCCCATCGCCTTCTTCAATGAAAAGTTGAATGAGTCTAGAAGGAAATACTTGACTTATGACAAAGAATTCTACGCCATCGGAGCACTGCGGTCATTACCTATTAAAGAACGAGTTCACACTATTTACAGATCATGAGGCCCTGAAATTCCTCAATAGCCAGAGCAAACTAAAAGGCTGACACACCATCTAAGTAAAATTTCTAGTCTCATTTCAGTGCTTAAAGATAAGGCGGGAAGCCAGAACCGTGTAACAGTTGCACTGAGTTGTCGACATTTATTGATCACATCCATGCAGACCCGAGTTGCAGGCTTCAAGGTCATAAGGGATCTATATGAAGCGGATGAGAATTTCAGAAACATCTTGGAGCAATGTTAGGAGAAGCCAATAGGGGAGTATTACCAAACAGATGGATACTTGTTCCATCACAGTCAGTTGTGCATTCCTCGGTGTTCACTAAGAGAGGTCATTGTCCATGAGGGCCACGGTGGAGGAATAGCAGGGCACTTTGGCAGGGACAAGACTCTCGCCCTTGTAAAAGAGCATTTTTTTTTTGCCCAAAATAACGAGAGATGAGAGCGACATGTCAGGCAGTGCAAAAGTTATCACTGGCAAAGAAAAAGGCTCAGAACACAAGATTATATACGCCACTTCCAGTATCAGAGGCAGTATGGGTGGAGGTTAGTATGGATTTCATGGTGGGACTCCCAAGGACACAAAGTAACAAGGACTCTCTGATGATTGTGATAGACAGATTATCCAAGATGGCCCACTTCGTATCCTGCCACCGAACACTAAACTTCTCTCACATTGCCGATCTGTACATCAAGAAGATTGTAAGGTTGCATGGAATTCTCAAGGCCATCACCACAAACAGAGACGTCAAATTCTTAAACCACTTCTAGAGAACACTATATAGAAAGTTTGGCACCATCTCCAATTAAGCTCAACAGTTCATCCACAGACATACGGACAGATGGACAAATGGACAGATAGACAGATGGAGTTAGTAAACAAGGGCCTCGAAAATCTCCTTAGGCACTTCATAGGGAAAAATATAAAGCAGCGGAATCTTATTCTAGCCCAAGATGAATTTGCTTACAACTAATCCAAAAGCCAAACTAGTGGACAACTCCCATCGAGATTGTGTACGGACGCAATCCGCTCACACCACTTGAGTTGGTATTACTTCTGCCGTCCCCAAAAATCAACGAGGACGACACAGTACGGTCAGAAGCTCAATGAAAGCGTTGGCAAGGAGATTGATAAGTAAAACCACAAATATCAAACACAAAAATAAATCCAGGGAAAAAATAACATTCCTGGAAGGCGACCTCATATAAATTTTTTTAAAAAAGAAAAGATCCCCACTAGAATCATTGGGAAACTTAAGCCAAAAGCAGATAAACCTTTCAAAGTACTTCAGAAGCTAAATGACAACACTTACAAGATTGACATGCCTGAAGACTACAACGTTTCAACCACATTCAACGTCGTCGACTTGACACCATACATTGAAAAGCCTGGAGCTTCAAAAAATGAGGCTGAAGCTTCCCCAACCTCGGGAGACTGATGCGGGGTGCTAAAAGGAGCCCCTGAAGCGGTGCGCTAAAACCACCCCACACTGGGTGCTAAAAAATCCCGTCAACTGGCTGAACCAGTTGGCAACTTAGCTTGCAAGCATGGACCGGTCCCGGCAAAACGTTTGCAGGTTGAGCGGAGCTTCGAGAGCTTTGTAGAGGGGGCAGGACTACTGCCCCTCCTTGTGCATTCTCCCCCTCCTAGAATGCCTTTAATGGTTATTTTCTAGAGCATTCTCAACATTGCTTTTGTGTGAGGATTTCCTTTCCTATTTCATTCATTTTCCCCTCCAATAGGAGTATATGCTGCCTTTTTCAGAGAATTAGGAGTAGTTTGCAGATTTCATATTCATGTGTGGTCTACTTTCCCTTATCTAGGATTGTATCCAAAGAGGTGGTGGTGCACTGATCGTATCCTACTCTGAAGTAGTGTTATATCTGCTCATTTACCCTTAACTAACCTTTCTCCTCCCCTCTCCTCCACCTCCGGCCTTGTTGACCTCAATTTTCGTGAGGTCTAGTATTTCTCGTAGGAGTTAGGATCTAGCCTTAGGGGTCTTCCTGCGACTATCTTAGAACCTTAGAAGTGGTGCCCGCCTCGTTTTTAGTTCGACCTATTTCCGTCTTCTTTTGGAGTTTCGCGTGTGCGGTATCGACTTCTAACGCTTAGAAGGATGAAACCGACATGAGGAAACCCAAAATGGATTCCTATAGGACCTTTCCGAGCCTTAGGGTGGCCTTCTGCACAATTCACACTCCTGCGCGCACCAGCTTCGCGATTCGGAGAGTCGACGCGTCCGATTGCTTGGCTGTCGAACCAGCCAACCAGCACCCTCTCCCACCTACATGACCCCAAAACCCCCTCCTGACCGACCTCACCGTAACCAACCCCTTTGCCATACCCTCACTACATTGCTAACACCACCCCCGCTCTTGAATCTCCTCTTCTGGGCCCTAGTCAGAGATTGGTCAATTGTTGTTTTTCTCCTTTTCATTGTAACGTGTTGTAACCCTATTACTATATTTAATAAAAGTTTCTTTTTTTTTTAATGTTTGATAACTCCTGACTAGTTTCAATATCAGATCCTTACGTGTCTTAAGAGACGGTGCAGTCGCCAAAGAGATCTGGATGCTTCTCGGACCACAGTCGAAGATCCTTCGACTCGAAAGATTACAACAACTTCATCACAGCACTGGGCCGACGGAAGCTTCGACGAATGAGGTCAAAGCTCCCCCAACCCTAGAAGACTGACGCATGGCTCCTTAGGGGGCTGAACCAACTAGTTCAGCTGAACCGACTTAGCCAAAAGGGGAGCAGGGTCGTCTGATTCATGTTTATGAGCTAGGGTAGCCCAAGGGTAAAAGCCTCCCTCCCTTAAATATCAACTATATGCAGAGATATATGTATTTTCCTTTTGTTAGGGTTCAGTTTTAATTGAGTTTTCTATGACAGTAGTTGTCGACATCTGATATCTCTCTACCTAGGGATGTATCTGAGGAAAGATGGCGTTCTGGTTGCATCCTGCTAAGAGGTGGTGACTATCTGTCTGCATTACGTACAATTCCTTGCCCACTTGCTGCCCTTCCACCTGCAACCGACTCTTTTCCTATTTGCCATGCCATTAGCCTTAATCCTCTCACTTGCCCTTCTCGCTATCAGCAACATGGTGAAACTGCAGCCTTATTGGTCACTGGGAGATACCCAGCCCTTAGCCCAAAAGGTCGAGGGACTGAAGAAAAAGAACAGGCAACCACCACAAATCCGGCAGCCACCCGCATTTGGAAGCATCAAAAGAAGCACACCTCATGGAGTTGAGAATACTGGTTCAGATAAGGAAGAAACCACCTCGAGTGAAAAGAAGCCCGAGAAGAGTTGCATGCCACGCTAGAAAATGCTTCAAATAACATGAATTTGGGCACATCACATCCAACTGTCCAATGAGCCTAGTTGTGTTTTTTGTAGAGCAGGGCACAATAGAGGTTAGTGACGAGGAGGCAGCTGTAGAACAAGGTGAAGTAAATCATCTTCTATCAAATGAAGGCGAGATGCTCATGGTTTGATGGATCCTTCAGACAGAGGATACAATGGATCCACAGTAGCTTCACTACAACATATTCTATCACCATTGAACTGTGAACGGGAAGGTATGAAACCTCATCATCGATGGAGGGAGCACCAAGAACATGACGTCTATGCAAATGATATAGAATTTGAGCCTCGTGACTCAAGGTATTCAGATGTATACTCTGACGTGGATAAAGAAGAACAGGTTCATCATTGATCAGAGGTGCCTGGTGGAGTTTTTGATTAGAAGTCAGCTACAGAATCCGGTGCGGCGTGACATGGTACTCACGGATGCCTCCACCTTTGTTGAGAAAAACATGGCAATTTCATCGTAGGACTCAATACGATAGATTCCGAAACACTTAACTCCAACATCAAAGATGGGAAATGCATCATCCTTCTCCCTTCTGGGGAGCCCAATTTTGGTGACTACAAAGGGTGATAGGACTGAGACAACAATTTCAGAAAGGAGACGACCACAACAGAGATCTTTTCAGGACAAGAAAGGAGACGACCACAACAGAGATCTTTTCAGGACATCACGATCGATACCTTGTCACCATGGCCACCACCATTCGGGGAGGTTCAGGTTATCCTTTCTTCATAATAGGGTGAGCCAACCTTGGGTTGGTTTAGGAGAGTCCATCAAAATAGGGGTGATACGCAATCCAAGTCAAACGAACAGCGAGCTCCCAAAAGATTGGATCAATATGAATGTTTGCTCACAAGTAGGGAAAGAACCTTAGGTGCCTTAGGAGACATTGCAGTCTTTAGTGAAAATTGGGCGCTTCTTAGACCACTATTGAAAGGCCTTCAACCACGGAAGGTTACAACATCATCATCAGCAGCGGGCAGACAGAAGCTTCAACGAATGAGTTTGAAGTTTCCCGACCACAGGAAACTGACGCGGGGATTCCTAGGGGGGTTGAATCGGCTTGTTCAGCTAAACCAGTTCAGTAAACAGGGAAGCAGGCTTCACCAATCCAAGTTTATGGGCCATGGATATCGTCAAAGGTGAGGGGCCTCTCCTTCCAAGTTATCTACTACCAAGTACTGTATCTGCGAACAGGTGGTGCTCCAGCTATATCTAGCTCTGAGGTGGTCACTAACTCCCCGCATCTCGCACTATTCCTTGCCCAGTTCACTGCCCTTCCACCTGCAACTCGCCTTTTCCCTGTTTTCCCCGTCGACAACCTTAATCCTCTATCTTGCCCTTGTCGCTGCCCCATACAACCCCACCAACCCGCTGTCGAAAATCCTTTCCTACCTTCTTGCTTGCTTCCGCCAACTCTCCCACCATCTAGCCAGTACACCCCCTATACGCTCTTAAAATGCATAATAAAAGCCAGTACACCCCCTATACTCTCTTATCCAACCCATTCCCCAACCCTAACTCTCACTCACCTTAAGAATCCCTCAACTCCACCCTTGAATTCCCTAATCCCTATTCCTTATAAGCATTATTGATAACCCCTAGCGTCAATAACCATTAAGAGAAATATATTACTATAAGAATGGAAAACCCTAAAATCTTTAACAATAACAAGATGGATACAGGAGCCATATAGCAAGTATCAAGGAAGATTCAACAGTATTAATTACTGAACCCCGAATCACATCCCCATCAAGAATCATTTCTGAAATTGCCCGAAAAGCTCAATTTCTCCATTAAGCAAGTGCAACAAGTATAACATTTTGTTGGTTTAAAAGTGGTGTACCCAAAGCGTGAGGCATCACAGAATGTGGGTCAAGCAAGTATCTAGCTCTGAGGTGTACCCAAAGCGTGAGGCATCACAGAATGTGGGTTCTAGAGAGGGGATATATGCATCCATGCTTTTGCATTACAAAAATTATATTCGTGAATTCAACAAATAACTTCATCATAGTTGAGGTAAACAAAGCATTGCTCCAAAGCCCACTCTCTGCCAAACCAAACATAAAAAAAAAGCTTTCAAAACTCTAGTACTCATCTGTTTCCCTATATTAGAGAGGCAATATTGATTAAAAAAATCTTAAGAGTCATCAAATCCAGAGAGCAAATTTCTCTGATAGCAAGGATTGGAGATAAGCAGAAAAATACAAAGCATTAAAAATTGTGACATAATTTTTGCTTCCTATAAGAGGTACTGGAAAGAATAGACTAAAGTTTAACTTTGCAAGACATAGGATATGAAATCAAGTTTACTGGTGTAGAAAGCTTAATAAAACAGCTAGCAGAAAATTATCGTCATAAGATTCCATAAAAAATTAAATAAAACCTTATAATCATAAAGGTCACTGCCAGCATAACCGCTGCTTTCACTCAGTTTTCCACTAAGCACGCGTTCATGATCCACCACATTAATTTGTGAATCTTTATCCTTTTCAACACTGCAGTATCCATTGTCCTTGACATCTATACTTTCATCTTCATCAGAATCATCACTATCACTATCTTCACTATGAGAGCCGGGTGATAAAGAGCATCTTTGATAAGTACAACCCTGTTCAAGATATGATTTACCGCAAGATTAGAAGCATACAGATACTTGTATGAACAAGACGATACAAGGATGGCATCAAAAGTGCCCGCTAGAGGAGAAAAAAATAAAAGATGTAAAAATTGTTAGCAACACCATAGAAAGCTGCAAAAGAAACCATCTAGAAAAATTGTAACATTCTTAGATGGCATTGTTAACAATTCAGAGTTTTCAAAAATTAAAAGCAAGTATAGTGGCATTTCATACAATATATATTTCAAGTACCCGAGTTTCAGACATAATAACCTCTACAACTAGTGACAAGCTGCGCAGCAGTTCTCTATATCAATAATCACATTCCTGCCCCACAAAAGCCAGTATGCATAGTTATGACAAAAACTGATTGGTGTAGAATTAATGGATATCTCGCATAAGTTTGTTGTAATTTCACAAGCAGCTCCTTTGAATTTGAATCCGGAAATTAGAAAGCCTCCCTAAAAGTGAGGTGTACAGTACTTGGAGAGTTTTTGCCCCATTTTTTGAGTTAATAATGGAAGTACACATACTAAAATGGATGACACTATTAAGGGTTCTATTAATAGCGTAGTTTGTAAAAAAAAAATGCATAAAATTGCCAACATTCCTTTCCCTTTCGATCCTTTTTCTTCTTTTTCATTGTGGAAACCAACTAATAAATCACATTCAAACTTTATTATGCATGATGAAAAATATGTGAGAATATGTTTCTCTATTCTTCTAATAGACAGTGTAGGATATGAAGAAACCATGATTTTTATTGTTCTTTTCTCTATATTTTGATATATGAAAATTAGGATAGTTTTATAGCAAAATAGGGCTGATATCCAATATCATCTAGTCCATGATTGAAATTCATAAGTACCAAACAGAAATGTTAAAAGAAACAAGTAAAATATAAAACAAAAAAGATTTTAACCAGCTGTCCAAAATCTCTATTTATTCGAAACGTAAAGTTCTAACCATATAAATAAATATTTTCAGATTCTTCCATGGAAGAGAGGAGAATATTAACACAAACCCTCAATTTGGATGCAAACATCAAACATTCTAAGGTTGGAGTTTAAATTTTCAAAATTCGCACATGTAAGAAAATTCATTGTTCGGAGATTTGTAAGCATATATAAAAGCTTCATGATTCCTTCCAATAGTTCCTCCTTCATGAAATGACAAAAGATATCTTCATGTGTTTTTTGTCATAATAAACATAGTTCTTTACAATCCTCATAGTTGCATTGCTATCACAGAGCATCTCATAGATTTCTCAGTTGACATTCTTAGCTTCTAAGCTGCACACACTACTACTACTACTTGTCCCTTGCTCTACAGAGTACCAAGTTCCCTAAAACATAAGTGTAGTACCCTAAAGTTTATCTTCAATTTGTTGTTAATTCAACCCAATCAGTATCAAAAAATACTTCAATGTCGTTAGTTGAAGCCTCCACAAAGTAAGATTCCACATCCAAAATTTTTTTGTTAGGCATCGTAAAATTCAACATACAACCCCCAAAATCTTATTATGTGGGCATTCTAAAATTCAATATACAACACACCAAATCTTCTTATGCGAGACTATTTATGAAATAACTCATAATAATTAAGAAGAATTTGATATCCATCAAATGTGAAAAAGGTAAATAAGCTTCCCAACCAATCTCTAAAATCTTCATTTATCAAGTAGAGTGCTTCCTTTTTTTAGCTCTCATCTTTGTTATTCGATCCATAAAAGTGTGAAGCAATTCGTAATAAACCAAACTTGTTGCTTTTTGTAGATCTAAAATATATGTTCATTGGCCAATGAAAAAACAATTCCTTGAAAAGCACTTCCATGCCAAAAAAAGCATTTGAGTTGACCCAAGCCTTTGATCCTAAATTCAATAGCAACACAGTTTTTCCAACTATTCATAGCTTTGGATAAGCACCGATGAAATCAATGTCATGTTATATGCGACTACAATGGTCTTTTTGCTTCAGGGAAAAAAAAATTGAAAAATAGTGTGATATTATTAACATTATGTCATTACCAGTTTTGTAAATCTATCAAACTATGCACATGGAGATTGCATAAAGCCATGTACTTACTTTAGAAGCATGCAAATTTTATTAGCACGTTCTTAAGTTTCAGAACCTGGAGGAATTTTCGTTCATTTTCAAAATCACCATTAAAAAATACTTTTTTAATACCAAGTTGATGCAATGGTCAATCTACATTTACTGCAATGATAACAGAACTCTAATAGAGTTGAGTTTTGCTATTGAGGAAAAGATAGAAGTTTGGCCATTGGGGAAAGGATATCTTCATAATCAATTCCAAACGATGGAGTGAAATCTTTATCAATAAGTCGAGCGTTGAACTTGCCCACTTTACCCCATGCAATGTGCTTGATAATCAAAATCTACGTGCATACCCCATACCCCCTAGGCTTCTTCCTATGGAAGGATATGAGATTTCCCAAAATTTAGTTTTCTTTGTTGTTTTGATTTCATTAATAATAGCAATCTTCCACTTGTGTAACTAAGAACTTCTTGTATGCAATTTCAAATCTATAAATTAATCATAGAGATGACAAACAATCAAAATTTGGGAAACAATCACTTCATAGAAAGTAAAGCAATATATTAAATGTTGAGTACGCGACCTTGCACCTTTCTAACAACAATTGGTAATGAAGATCATTAGAAGGCCCAAAAGTAACAGATTTGATAAAAAAATGTTATCCAAGCAAGTTTCAAGGGTCTTTAGAGTTTATTCAAATTCCAATTTTTGCATAAGAGGTGTCATGTGATTTTAGTTCGTATGAGTTTTCCACTTCCTTGCACAGAATCACTTCCTAGTTTGGCATTTCTGGTGTGTCCTTGAATTTGAGTGTTTAGTTGTGAGTGCAGTCGTAGTTCAAGACTGAGATTGAATGGCGATTGTTTGAGTTTGTTTGGCATTTTTTTTCCGAAAACTAATATTCTTGTGGAATATTACTCTCCCCCTAAATTGAAATTTTTAGGAATTTAGATTTGATTCTCAAAGAATAGCACATCCATGAAGTTGTAGAACTTTCCTTCTATTGGTAACCACTTATAACTTTTCTAACTTTGAGAATATCTCAGGAATATGCATTTAAAAGTTTTTGGTTCTATCAATCAGAAGTAAATCAGACAGAATAAAGAGTTTCCTTCTTCGCAATACTGCAAAGAACGAAATATTACATTTGCACGAATCTTTACTTTTAGCTGAATATTTAGATTAGGAATATGTATTAATTAAGTTGCCTAAAATAGTTTATACAAAATATTATGTACCTAAAATAGATTGTACAGACTATTATTTATTGCAATGAAAGCAAAGGAAAAGGCATTCAGCCTATTTGTTCAAAACTTTGACATGATATCTGACCGGCGACTTTATATATATTTAAAAATATAAGTTAAATATGGACGTAATAAATATTCAATAATTGTAAAGTCACACTTATCAACGCAAGTATACGTATCGCTAAGTAATATAGGGCTCTAATGGAGTCCTAGATATCGATCTCATAGGGAGTGGTTTAAAACTGCAAACTAAGATTTTAGAAAAGCAATACTTTAATTGCAACAACGAAGTTAAAATTGTTTATCTATCACTAATAGGCAATTGAAATAAATATGTAATTTTAATAATTATTAAATAACTAATGATACTAATGAGGGTTTAAATGTGATATTCAATATATAAGAAAACATTATTCTCCTTGTCAAGAAATTATAGTAAATGGATAAGTTCAAGAGCATACCTATTATTTACCCTTTGGTCCAGGCATAAAGAATATCGACTAATCCTACGCTTGCTAATTGAATCTGCGGCAAGGCTGGGAGGATACCGGCTCT